GGTGGATGCGCAAGGAAATATAAATTTGAAGAAATTAAATGAAAATAATTCGATTGAATCGGAGCTTGAACAATTCACTGTTATTACGCAATTACCTTACATCAAGCTATACTTAGAGAAACAAAAGAATGAAACAAAGGAGGAATAATTCAGGTGACATATATACGTCAAAATCGTGGCGGTAATTCATGCAGATTCCATGAATAAGGAATCGCACTGTTGCATGAAACATGGACGGTGTTTAAGTAATTCAAATTGATTGGTGGTGGCGGTTGCGACGAGGGTGGTTTGGAGGATTACCGACTTTTATAAGGACGCGTACATAAATGTTGCAGGGAAGGGAAGGACTTCATTCATTCATTCGCTCATTCCTGCAACATTCATATTCACACACACATAAAAGTCCACAGTTGTGCATCAATTATTCAACGTGGAATTCCGAACACATGCCACGACACCAAAGAAGACGAAAAGAAAGTAGAAATTGAAATGAGCGTAAACATTGCATTGATTTACAATACTTAGTTTCAATTTGTTTTAGTACATTTGTTCACTACTAGATGGAAGGATTGATTTTCAGGACTCACGTATCTCCCTCATCAAGTGTGAAATATGAAACAAATTTATGAAATCTAAATCGTTTTCAACATCAGACAATTATGACAAAATTCTATAACAGCAAATAGCGATTGAAAATTAAAAGTTTTTGATGGACGACCGTAATGAGTCCTGAAAGGCTTTAATATTCTTTAAAAACACTTACTTGAAATTGTCAAAATCGAATGCTCGAAGGTTATCATTTCAAGGTCAAAAATTGACAGATAACTTTTTTCCGGTCAATGCTGCACTTATTTCCAATACTATAACATCTCCATGACAATCACAAAATGGAAATCTATAAAACAAAAGATTTTTTTTGATAGGGGAGTAAAGTGCGTCCTGAAAGGCTTTTATATTCCTTAAAAACTTACTTGAAATTGTCAAAATAGAATGCTCAAAGGTTATCATTTTTAATAATATTAGAAATGTCAAAAATTGACAGCTAACTTTTTCCGGTCAAATTCCCCAATGTTACACTTATTTCCAATACTATAACATCTCCATGACAACCACAAAATGGAAATCTATAAAACAAAAGAATTTTTTGATAGGAGTAAAGTGCGTCCTGAAAGGCTTTTATATTCTTTAAAAACTTACTTGAAATTGTCAAAATCGAATGCTCGAAGGTTATCATTTTTAATAATATTAAAAATGTCAAAAATTGACAGATAACTTTTTCCGGTCAATGCTGCACTTATTTCCAATACTATAACATCTCCATGACAATCACGAAATAGAAATCTATAAAACAAAAGAATTTTTTCGATAGGGGAGTAAAGTGCGTCCTGAAAGGCTTTTATATTCTTTAAAAACTTACTTGAAATTGTCAAAATCGAATGATCGAAGGTTATCATTTTTAAGAATATCAGAAATGTCAAAAATTGACAGATAACTATTTCCGGTCAATGCTACACTTATTTCCAATACTATAACATCTCCATGACAATCACGAAATAGAAATCTATAAAACAAAAGATTTTTTTGATAGGGGAGTAAAGTGCGTCCTGAAATCGTCCTGAAAGGCTTTTATATTCCTTAAAAACTTACTTGAAATTGTCAAAATCGAATGCTCGAAGATTATCATTTTTAATAATATAAGAAATGTCAAAAATTGACAGATAACTATTTCCGGTCAATGCTACACTTATATCCAATAGTATAACATCTCCATGACAACCACGAAATGGAAATCTGTAAAACAAAAGAACAATTAGATGAAAAAGAAACGTATGATAACAGATGAAAATTATTGTTTTTCTCTCAATGTGGGGAAGTGGACGATCGTAATTTCAGTGTAATGCCGATGCGGCAACGAAAGGGCATTAATAAAATCACGTCCACGAGCGGTGGCAGTACAGTAGATAGAGAGTATGGTGCAGTTGGAGTGATCTTATATGTGATCTTCTGCATATGCCAGCAATATCTCGGGCGCAGCTGACGGATCGGATTTGCGATGCCGACACATGTGTGCCCAATGGTAATGGAGTCTGCCTTCGACGTGTTCATTATTACATTTTTAATGCGCGATCAATATGCCCTTTATCGTCGTCGTCGACGTCGTCTTTGCCGCAGCCGCCAAAATAAACCGGAAGAAAAAATAAAACTCACCGTTACATTTCCTCTTCGAATTCACAAAATTAACAATCGCATTTGACGTACTGTCACATTTCACTATCAAAGCCACCAACTTTTAAAAAATTAATGTTACCAATTTTAAAAATTCCAGATTTAGTTTGGTTATGTTGCATCGTCAAAAAAATAATGAAATAAATATGTACAGGTATAGTATTAATGTCTGCACTCACCATTTAATACGTACTTGAAATTTGTTGAAATTATGACGATTCCAAGTATAAAAATAATCGAAATTTAAAATCAAACACGATCCACCGACGAACTGTCACATTTTACTAACAAACTCGCCAACTTTGAAAAAAAAACTAACTAAATCTTATAAAATAAGCTACTAGAATAAATAAATGCTCTTAAAATTTAATTTGTATTAATAAGTATTAATATGTGCACTCACCATTTAATACGTACTTGAAATTTGTTGAAATAATGACGATTCCAATTATAAAAGTAATCGAAATTTAAAATCAAACACGATCGAACTGTCACATTTTACTATCAAAGCCGCCAACTTTGGAAAAAAAACTAACTAAATCTTATAAAATAAATTACTAGAATAAACAAATGCTCTTAAAATTTAATTTGAATTAATGAGTATTAATGTATGCACTCACCATTTAATTCGTAATTGAAATTTGTCGAAATTATGACGATTCCAATTATAGAAATGATCAAAATTTAAAATCAAAAACGATCGAACGACGAACTGTCACATTTTACTATCATAGCAACTTTGAAAAAAAAAACTACTAAATCTTAGCTACTAGAATAAACAAATGCTCTTAAAATTTAATTTATAGTTACTTTTTTTATTCTTAATGTTTATTAAATATTGACAAATATGAGAAATTGATTATAATTTTTGAAAAAGAAATTGTTTATATTTGTCATAAATTTAAATATTTCTTTTGTTTTCTATAAACAATGCGAGAACTGAGTCGATCCATGTAAATTTCTTTCGCTCTGATTGTTTTCTGTTTTTTCTTTTCTTTTTTTGGGGGGTTGGTGAGTAAACTTTAGCATAAATCAATGCCGAAACGTTCCATTGTCCGGGTGTCTTCGGCTTCGGCTGCGAACGTTCGTTTTCCCTTTTAATTTTCTTCGATGATAGATCGCTTTTGTCTTTGAGGCAGCCCCGTATTTATTTCGTAACGTACGTGAATCTGAATGTACGCAAACGCGCGCACTCGTGTATATGTGTATGCCTATATATATATAGTTCCGTTTTTCCGGTTGTTTGTGAGAGGTGAATTTATTAGCGTCACCCGGCGCTGATTTCTATATCTCGCGCCCACCCCCGAAACTTTCGTTTCTAATTAACTTTGATTTATAATTTCCGTACAGCATTACAGGCGGATATCGAAGGAGGCGGCGGCGCTAATGAAAAAAAAAAAAGAAAGAAAACAAATGGACGGATTGCAATAGGAGGCGGTGGGAGTTATACAGAAGGAAAACAAAAGAGGGACGAAGAAAAGGACGAAACTGAAAATATAACGCACGTACAGAGGGAGTAAGAGAAATAGAGAATTGGAAAGGAACGAACGATATTTCCGCGCGGAAACTTTTCAAATTAACATAAAAACAATGCGAACAAAAGGGGGGCGGCGGCGGCCCTCCGCGTTTTTGGAGCAATCACGGCAAACTTTCGCGTTTTCCTAAAACATCAATTGTTTTTCTTTCTTACTCGATCTTTTGTTTTATTACCAAATGCTAAGAAACTAAACGACATCGGATAAATTAAAGCTTTCTTTAATTCTTTTTTTTTTCGCCAAATTATGTAATTTTGTAATTTCATTAGTATCTAGTGAATTTTGAATTGTAATTTGCAGCAAACTTCGTTGCGTAATTCCGTATTTAATTTGAGTTAATTGGTTGGCTGAACGTTTATCTTTTGTTTTGTCTTGATTGTCGCCACGTTGGTAGTGCGATGATGAGGGGTTGGGATGAGGAGAAGGAGGCGGCGACGGCGGCGGCGGATGTGTGCATGTTACGGCGCTGATATCGTCCGGCCGGTGGTCGGTGGACGCAGATAAGACACGTCCCGGGGGCGGCAGGTTAGTCCTCGGCTTAGCTTGTCCGCGTGAACGCTGCCGCCCCCAGATAGAGACTAACACATACATATAATACGGACGGCGGAACACGTTCATCCCCCACATTCGCCCCCCACTCTGAATGAATTTATACACACACTCTAAACCCAAAACACTTAACCGCCCCCACTTCCTGCAGCTTCGACACGCGCCACCTTCAATTGCAATTAAATCAGATTGGAATGTCCATTTCGGTTTACAATTGAAGATAATTCAACATATTGAAGTTAATAAGTTGAAAACGAACCTCTACTGTCATGTAACAACGGTAGTCTAGTGATGCTAAGAGGGTTGCTCGTTGCAACAAGTTATGAAGTTTTAAATTTATTATGTTGGTAGAGTTAATTAATGATGATGATGATGATGAAAATGCGTAGTGATTTGGAGGTGTCAATTGCATATATCGGCAGTATCTGATGTTGATGTTT